CTAATACAAAGGCCTAAGGGCAATCTTTTGCTTTGAGCTCGAGGTATCATCCTCACTCAATAAAAACCCTTTCTTCTAGTTCGAGCAAGTACTCACTCGACACTAGTTTAGTCTCGGTCCAAAATTGCCTATACCTCGAACCTATGAATGCAACCTCGTAAGGCATCAATAAAACAAAGACAAAGCAAGGGAAAAAAAGGAAAAACGACAGATCCTCAAAGGAAAGGAAAATTTTTATACCAAAGTTTTTCTTACAAGGGCCACATGGCCCGATCCAAAACTCGTTACAAAGGCCAAAACAGCCTTAAAAAGAAACACTACTAATCCTAAAGGCCTAGTCTTCTTCGGGAGCAGCTTCTTCGCCCAATGAGTCATCTCCATCGGATCCGCCCTCATCCTCGGAATCCTCATCAAGAAATATAAACTTTCGAGCCTTTGCTTCCTCAGCCTTGGCAATTTCGAGTTCAGTAGATATGTCAGCATTTTGAGCAAGGATTCCCTCGAGAACATCCCTTCGAGCCTTCCATTTCAAATGATCAACCATGCCCCTGGCTTGCTTGAGGGTGGCTTCGACGTTAACTTTGTATTGATCCGCAGTAGCTTGAGCCTTAATATTGGCATTAGCCACTTCGGATCTAGCAACCTCGAGATCCTTGGCCAGATTGGTTAAATTGGATTCGAGCTCCTCGACCTTCTTCTCCTGGACCGAGGTGTTGTCCCTTGCATATCAAAGTTGTGACTTGACAGAATCCAGCTCTGCTTGAACGGTCTCCTTTTGCGCAACAAGGATGTCCATACATCCCTTGAACTGATCGACTTTGGCTCGCACTTAGTCTATTTGCCCTTGAAAGCCCTTGATTTGTTCGAGCCTCTATCGAGCCTGTAGAATGGGATTGTTAGTTGTTATCTCCGACTTGTCCTCATTATCATAAAGAATTCGGAATACCTGCTTGGCCATCTCTTTATGCACGTTTCGAGCTTCCTCTATCCACCTGAAGCTTCTCACTGAGAATCTTATAAGTGTTGCACTTCTTAGTGAGACCCTGGACCTCGACCTTGCGTTCCTCTCGGGCTCAAAGAAAGGCCTCGTGATGCAACACCGAAGCCTGCAAGGAAAGAAGAAATATTATATATATCCACAAGTCAAAATTCAAGAAAAGACAATGATCCTTGAACTTACCCGATTTAGAGCATGCTGGGCCTCGTTGAACAAGCAGGAAACATCCACTGCATTCATTTTGGCTTGATCCTCCTCAGTGACCAATCATCGAAGGTAACTTGCTACCCCTACCGGGGCAGATAAAACTTGTGTATCCTCTAAGATCAAGATAATAAGAGGCCACTTTTGATCAGGGTCAATGTTGGGAGCCAGGAATTGGTTAGTCAGTGATAGCTCGAGGAAGCCTCATTCGAGCTCTTCCTTGGTATGTCCAAATCACCCAAATCGATGGTATCTTCCATATCAGCAAAATAGCCACGGAAAAAATCCTTTCCTCCGAGGTCCCCCTCTCCGTGACAAGTCTCTGCAGCGTGAGCGTCACGTATCATCAAATCCAGAACTGGAGGGAATAAGGAGGAGTCACCAATCACTATTGCCCGAAGTGGGTCTGTAGAGGCATCATCTTCGTTTCGGGGAGTCGCGAGCTCGGTTTTTACCCCAACCTCGACCGCCTCTTCGATGGCCTCCCCATTTTGAGGTGAAGCATCTTCAACTCTTGTTGTCTCGAGCTCATCAAATCGGGGCAAAGCAGTTTCAGCTCCCGCATGTCCAATGGTTTTTTGAACCTCGATGCCAAACCGCACACGAGGCACCAATCCAGAATTTTCTTCTTCATCCTCATCTATGGTCTCATCCGACAGCTGGTGGACAAACTCTAGAGTTACGTGGATAACGTCCCCCTTTGGCTTGCGGGGCCTCCCGACCGGCCTTTTCTTCTCTGGGCTCGAGGAACTCGGATCCTCTTTCCTCTTCTTCTCTTTTCCCTGCTTTGGGGTAGACTAGGAAAGGAGCGCCTTTTCTTCGGCAAAGGGAGGCCTCATTGGCACGTCCTTCCCGAGGCTTGCAATATGGAAAAAATGAATAAGAACAAATAACAAAGTCTGAATGGAAACCTTGCCAAAGAAAAAAGATTACCATGGTTTCGAGCATCTCATTGTCCCTTTGACAACTCCATCCAAGCGCACTCGGAAAAAGTTTTTTGTGACACCAATCCATCAACCCATTGCCTCAGGTCGGGGATCACTTCCGGTATAACGGCCTTGGCTGCAACACAAGAACTTAGATGAGGGGAAAACAAGAAAGTTGAACGGCAATACTAGATACACGAAAGGCCAAGTAATGCTTACGTTTCATGTTCCACCTTTCAGGGAATGACATATCTTCGGCGGGGATTAAATCCAAAGTCTTTATTCTGACAAACTCGCCCATCCAACCGCGATCTCGAGCCTCGTCTATGCTTGAGAATGAGGGTTTGGTATCTCGTCGGTAAATTTTGAACATGCCTCCCCGATAAAGTCAAGGGCCGTAGAGGCGCATGAGGTGATCGAGGGTAAAAGGATGCCCCTCAATCTTACTGACAAAGAATCGGAGGAGGAGCATGACTTCAAAATAATGGATGGATTTGGCCTAGAGTGACATCATACCTTTTGCAAAAAGCAACGATGATAGGGTCCAAGGGACTTATTGTTAAGGGGTAGGTGTAGACAATCAGATACCCTTCCTTGTATGTAGTGATAAATTCTTTGGGGCTAGGTACCACGACGCCCTTGCCTACCCAGTTGCACTCTTCTTCACCTTCTCGAGGAGGCCTTCGATAATCGTACACATATACTTCGACATAGGTTCACATCGGCACGGTGTCGGGGGTGTGTTCTCTATATTGAAATCAACAGCAATGGCACTTTGCGGCACAATTTTTTATGTTTTGCCATTTTGGGTTTGAGTGTGAAGAAGAAGAAGAAAATAAGACTTAGTGTTTTGAGAGAGGGTTGACAACAAAACCTGAAGATTTTGCAGAACGGAAAAACTTAAAAGATGTAAAAAGCTTTGGAGATTAGAAGAAATTGAAACTAAAGTTTGAATCAATAAGAAAATGGCTTATTTATGGGTTTCACTGCGATAGTTTGAAACCGCTGGTGGCTGACCTTCAACTAGCATGCATTAAACGTCGGGAACTGCACCGACGGGACATTTCGGTCACATCTGCTGCTTACGTTATGGGAATGACATCATGATAGGTCAAGGATCGGAGGCTTAATTTGTTTTTTTATTACACTCCAAAAAACGAGGGGACTATCCGTATACGGTTAAAATCGAGCCCACCCGATTTTACTGATTTATCAAGACTGGTGTGAATGATCGAAGATCTATCCCATAATAGATCAGACCAAGGCACGAAGACAAGGTACCGAGTTCGAAGATTCGAATGTCAAGATCGTGACCGGTAGTGATTGAGACCGAATGAGACAGACATCGAGTAAGATCGAAGTAGCATAATAACAGAAAGGCGAGATATCTGTGATTAGTCGAAGATCATGACAAAAATCTCGGAACAAATAAAATCAAGGACGTTTAATTAGCTAATTATGGGATTTTCTTATGTAATTAGAGCTATACCATAATTAGAATTCCTCTACTATATAAAGAGGAGTTCCAATCATTTGTAAGGCACTGGGATTCACACATATCAAAGCAATATAACACTTTATCTTTAGCTCATATTGTTGTTCATTAGCTTGCTTATTGCTTAACCATTTTGATTCCGGCCAGTTCAAGGGCACTCTAGCTCGAGGGCTGAATTACGTTTCAACACCAGTTTGCTTTATCTTATTGTTAAATTTTATTACTAATCTTTATATTTATTAATTGGTATTAGGTGAAATTACGTGTCCTTAAAACCACATTATAAGTTTAATTATTATCCAATTTTAAGGGTAAACACATTCATACAATCTTACAAACCAAAGTCAATTAGAAATTTAGCGAAAATTTGAAGAGTGTAATAGTGTAAGAAACCCAATAAAGGAGAAACATAAAAATGAAGGGACACCACATACGGTATGCACCAATACTAAAAGTAGGTAACCAAAGATCGGAGTTCGAAATTACACCGTAAAAGTTAGTTAGGGTATCTAGCTAGATGAGAACAAAACTAGAGGGGGCTAATAGAGGAAAAAAATAAGAAAGACTTTGGGGCGAGATTAAGAGAGATAAGGGTATGATTTTTTTTAGAGAATGGATTTCGCTGCTGATAATACATGTTCGGCTTCTGCATAAAGTTGTGTACAATCTTTTGCGAGTTTAGGGGCGAAAGAAGGAGTTGGTGTGGTGGAGATAGTTAGATTTGACCAAATAGAAAACATGCCAAGTATACTGAATTTGGTGGTGACTTTTAAAGTTAGATAAATGAATATCTTGATCACTCTATGAAAGACAAATATTTATAAAAAGGACATAGCGAAGAAGAAAAAAAAGAGTTTTCATTCGATTGCAATTAATTGAGGAGAGTATCGTGATGTGATGAATATAGAGAGATGCGAAATAAGAAACTGGAATATATAAAAAGTCAAGTTTGTAGATATTGTGATTGGTATAGACAACATTATGAAGTAAGAGATTTACTGAGAGAGAGGAAGAGAAGAAATATGAGATGGAAAAATAGAAAGTTGTCCAATAAAAAAGAAAGAAAGAAGGGAAGTGAATTTTTTCCTTATTTCACTCTATTTACTTGTGTCATTCAGATGTCACTAAGCTAAATTAGCCAATTAAATATTACATAAGCATAATCAACGATCAAAGAGGTTTAATATATGAAATTTTAATAAACAGAGGCGCTATAATTGGGGAAAATCCAATTTAGAGGACCGATTTTGCCAACATGTACAAGTTAAAGTGTTAGTTTGCTATTAAACCAAAATGAAGGAAAACCCCAAAGGTGCTAGAAAAATATAATAAAAGAATTTGAGGGCCAAAATTCAATTATCCATTCAAGTAAGCCCCCTCGTCATTTTGCTATGCTATCTGAACATCAGGACACAAGCAGAGAGTAGAGTCCAAACTCTAAAGAAAGAAGAAGCTAAGGATATGGCGTGCGCAAGCACATCTGCTTCCACGACTTGGAACATGTCCTCTCTGAAATCCGCACTCCCTTCCGCACAAACATTTTCGAAGTCTTCGCTCCGCTTCTCCGTTGGGTCCAAGCCCAAATCCACTTCCAGACTTCTTCACTCCTTCGTTGGTCTCGCTCCATTGCATCCGCTCCTTTCTCTTAGTTCCCAAGGTACTTTTGGAATTCTGCATTAATTAATTGATTACTTTGTTACGTCTGGTATACGAAAAGTTTGCATTTTTAGTGCAATAAAATCCTAATTTATTGCATTTGGATGTTGATATGGCGTTTCCATGGATATTGAAGCCACCCGTTTAATGCAATAGGCATGTCATATTGATAATAGTTGTTATTACTGGTATTATCGGGGATGCAGCTAATGTTGCATTTCTACTGCTTGAGTTCATAATATGTTATTCGGTGAGTGTTTGAATACATGTTTTTACAGTGTGATAATTAAGCAGGGGCAGCAGCCCGGCGAATTTTGTGGCCTAAAGCCCATCTTAATGAGGGAACTTTTTAATTTTTTTAATTATTTATTTTGAAGTCTATTTTTTTTTAGCTTTTCTTATATACAAAGTTATTAATAATTTTCTTATAATCGATAACTCCTAATAAGTATTTCTCAATTGACAATATAGCTAACCAATTTAACCTTTCTTGTGACATTGTTGTTCTTAGGTAAGATTTTATCAATTTTAATTTTGAAAACTCCTTTCCGATGAAGCAACAGTAACATGAGTTATGAACATTATTCCATAAGCAATTTAGGCATTTGAAAAAGAATTATATCTTTTTATTTGATTAGGTGTATTAATTAAACTGTTATCTTCTAATTGTACTATTTTTCTTAATACTTTTAATTCAGAAAATAAATTTGAACCATCAATATCGAATTGATTATTATGCTTTAAGGAACATTCAAGATTTGATTAGGCTTGCAGTTTATGTTGAACCCACACTATTCTTGTTGTTTATCTTAGCCACGGGCCTTAGATTCTGGTTACTGTTATTGCATGTCATTCATCTTTTGGTTTTTATGCTTCTGTTACTATTACAATTTCTACTGGAGTTACTAATGAATTCTCTTTTCTTGTTTTTTATTTTATTTCGTCTTTCTGAGCCGATGGTCTATCGGAAACAGCCTCTCTGCCCCTATCGGGGCAGAGGTAAGGTCTGCGTACACATTACCCTCCCCAGACCCCACTATGTGGGATTTTACTGGGTAGTTGATGTTCTCACATCTAGTGATCTTAGTTTTTACTGTCAAATGGAAAACCAAAAATATTTTCATATGCTTCGAATTGTTCAAATCTATTTTGAAGTGAAAAATAGCTTTGTCTATTATGTATAAAAGTAATCAACTTTAAAAGACTCTTCGAAAGATTTGAGATTTCATTATCAACATTCGCATCAAATTGTTACTTCTTATATATCACACGTTTCTTACGAAATTCTGGTTCGATATTCATTTCAAATGCAATTTCCTTGGTAGAATCATAGCAGTTGCAGATCCTTCTTCTCTATGTTTGTTAAAGAAAGAAATCAAACTTTTTCACTTTACAGAACTGTTTTTTAAACCTATACATAGTCTATTAGGTGTAACAAAAAATGGGGCCCCCACAAATATGGGGCCTAAAGCGGTTGCTTTAGTTGCTTTATGGAAGGGCCGCCCATGTAATTAAGATACTTCTAGTAAGAGGGATTGTTTTAGGGATTTTAAGGTTGGATTGCCTAGATTAGAATATTGTTGGTCACCTCTTGATTCTGTCATATATGACATCTATGGGCAAGGACAGACGCACAATTTACGCAATGGGTGATTTTGGCCAAAACTATATATACATGTATGTACGTAGGTATGTGTCTGTACACAAACACATACTACGATATTATCGTAAAGGAGTAGTAGATATACTTGTACTTTCCATTCACCAACTTAATATCCTGGATCCGTTTCTGTTTATGGGGTGGTCTGTTATCCCATAAGCTCAAGTACTTTATGATTTGGGATTAGGACAGGACATAGAAAAACAGGTTACATGAAATTGGAACAGACCATTGTGTTTTTTTTGGCGCCAGTTCTCTCGTCTACTAGCTTTACTATTTCCTCATGTACCTTTCCAGTCGAATTATTACTATGTATATGCTTTCCTCAGTTGGTGTAAGGTGAATTTAGTCTTACCTGTTTTGTTTAAGTCATTTCCAATAATGCCCAAGAGCCCCTGAACAATTTTTACCTCTGTACAGCATTTAGTGCAACTACATTGAACTTTTGATTAGTGTCTTTTCTTTTAGGGTTGCGTATGTTAGTTTGTCGATGCTCTTGCTTTAGGATATTTGATCAAACTAAAAGTCTAGCTCCAGTGTCTGTAGTCATTCTAGCTCCCCGAGTTAGTCAAGTAGGTCAAGCCGAGTCTAGTCACCCTGTAAGAGAAAGTCGCGTAACCAAATTTCTTCTTAATTGAGTTTTATTTTCAAGCTTCAGTCTGAAAGTTAACGGAAAGGGAAGTGAACTTCCTTTTCTATTTGTCTTGTACTGTGTAACGGAAAGGTTTCATGAGTCATTTGTGGAATTTGGTGAATGTGAAAGCGTAGAGAAAAATCTGGTTTGCAGATGAACATGGAATGTTGCTTGTTAAGTAATTCCGCAGTGCAACTTCTGCATTTCAAGCTATTATTTCTACACCTATGTTTTTCTTTAAGTTGATAAAGTTTCTAACCTAAAATTATAAATTGCAGATTCAACAAGTTTTGACCACTCATTTACTGTGATTGATAATGGTGGCCGGTTTTCCGCCATGAGACATGGCAGGAAGGTGCCCAAACTGAATAGACCCCCAGATCAGCGTCGGGCACTCTTACGAGGCCTCACGACTCAGCTCCTCAAGCACGGACGTATAAAGACCACTAAAGCAAGGGCCAGGGCAGTGAGAAAGTATGTCGATAAGATGATCACAATGGCAAAGGATGGCACTCTCCATAAGAGAAGGCAAGCCCTTGGATTCATCTATGAGAAGCAGATAGTGCATGCATTATTCGCGGAGGTCCCGGAGAGATATGGAGAGAGGAATGGAGGATACACCAGGATAATAAGAACTCTGCCCAGGCGAGGAGACAATGCACCAATGGCTTATATTGAGCTTGTCTAGCAACTGAATAGTCATTTTAAAGATGTTCTTATTTATTTTTGTGCAGAAGTCTGATTCAATTAAGAGACTTTTTTGAGTTCTAAATATGATTCCATCTCAATTCTTTATGGATTTCAACTCCAAAAGGAATTACCAGTAATATTTGTATGGTGGTGTATTTTCTTTCTTTTTTTTTGATTCACGTGTACTTGAGGTTGAAAGGCAACACATTATATCTTTGGGCTGAACAAAGATTGCTAAGAGTATGATACCCAAAAATAAAAATACTGCAACGACAAATTGCACAAAGGGAGTGAATTAGATGCATATCATGTGTTTGAACCCTGTTGTTGACAAAAGTGTAGTATTTAATTAGAAAAGGATAGAGAAGTGAACACATTGTCCTTGTCAGCTGGCTCTTGGGGATTTTTCGATTAAAAAGATAAATTGAACAAAGGGGGTGAATTAGATGCATACCATGAGTTTGAACCCTGCTGTAGACGAAAGTGTGATACTTAAAGAAGGATAGAGGAGTGAATATATTATCAGTGCCAGCTGGGGATTTTTCGATTGAAAATGATAAATTGAACAAAGGGACAAAATGTTTCCCGGATCAAAGGCAGAAAGCTTTTACTCGCACAACAACAACAACCCAGTATAATCCCACTTAGTGGGGCAGAGAGGCTGTTTCCAAATAGAAACCCGACATCATTCCCTCAAAGAACTTCCCACCTTGCTTTTGGGGAGACTCGAACTCACAACCTCTTGGTTGGAAGTAGAAGTTGCTTACCATCAGAGCCCCTCTTGTCAAAACTTTTACTAGCACAAAAAAGGAAATTTGGAAGGAGTATATGAAGATAAATATTACCTAGTAAGAAAAATACTTACCGCTGTAATATTTACACTAAATTAAATAACTTAATCATAAAAGTTACAAATAAATCTGAAAATAAATAATATTTAAATATTATTAAGTGATACGTAAAGGTATATATGCAAGATAATTTTTTGTAGTACTCCCTCTGTTTCAAATTAGATGATGTACTTTCCTTTTAAGTTTGTTCCAAAATAAATGACACATTTCTAAATTTGGAAATAATTCAATTTTAAACTCTTTATTTTACCTATTTTACCCATAATGAGAAGCTTTTATAACTATACAAATGTCATGGTCCTACAAAGCTTTTACCCCTTAAATTTTTAACACCAAAGCAGAGGTGGATACAGTGTGGTAGTTATGGTTTCAATTGAACCCATAACATTCGACGTGGAGTAGAAATTTATGTATAAAAATTCATTAAAATTGTAAAAATAATATATTTGAACCCATAACTTTAAAAATATAATGGGTTCAATGTTAAAAATCTTAAAAGTTGAACCCACAGAGTTTAAATACTGGATCCGGCTCTGATTACAAGTTTCAAAAGTCTTCTACTTTTTTGTTAAACTCCGTGCCGAGTCAAACTAACTCATCTAAATTAAAACGGAAACGGAAGGAGTAGTTTTTTTTTTTTTTTTTTGGTTTTGGCTGTGAACAGGTTACATAAGCTAGCTTTAGTAACCAACACATTCTGGCAATTGTAAGAGAATGGGTGAATTATAGATGTTTTACATATAGGATTGAAGGGGTTAAGTTGGGAAATCAGCAGGGGATAAGAAGTCAGAGAAAGCAGTAGATAAGGTAGGATCAGAGTTTGTTGTATTTTCCTATCTACTCTATCATTCTTCATAGCCCAAGATATATAAAAACCAGACACAAAAGGGAAAGCCTTAACGCGGTGGTTATCATTATGTTAGCTTCAACAGCTCTGAATCTGGGTTCATTAGGCAGTTGTATAGTGACTGTGTCAGCCCACAGTTGCCATAAACCTTCCCTGCTTCTACCATTCGTGGCATTACCAAAGCCTTTTAATGGAAGCTGTAACAGTAGCTGGAAATTAACTACACCATTCAAGACTGCCGTTGCTGCTGTTGATTCCTCTCAACCTGCCCAACAGGTTTGCAGATTTTACTTTTTACGAAATTGGTTCGCCTATTAAACTATCTAATATTTGAATGTGTTAGAAATTGTTTAAATATATTACCTGCGTTTTAAATGAGAAGTTATGTTTCTTGATTTAGTGCACCTTTAACCACTCATGTGTCTTGATAACCATTCTGTTCTTATCTTTTGGTACTACATTTAACTGAACTTCTGGCAGATACATTCTTCTATTCCGAGAGCGATCAAGAAATCTCACCCTTTCGTAGATTCATGGACCCAATTTCAATTCCATTACAATCTCGCAAAGGAGAGAGATCAGATATTGCTTTTTAGGAAAGTGTGTTTAGTCCTTTTACGTGTTTCAAGCCTAAATCTTTTGTGTTCTTCATTCATGTTTTTCAACAGAAATGAGTGAATTTATATACACTAACATCACTATCAATGTAACTTAACTAGTTTCAGTAAGCCACCAATTGAAAATGTCCATGCTCTCTTTCTTTACTCAAAATTCAAAACTGAGGCGATTTGATCCCATGATGTGGAAACTAATGCCCCATGTGCCATGGTATGGGTTTCCATGTACACGGAATAATCTCAAGCTACAAATGATGATGTCCATCTCATTGAAGAAGTATTAGGCATGTGCCTAATAAGAGTTTTCTTT